TACGTAATCAAGAAAAATCCGTGACCGTCACCGTTAAATCGTCGTCAGATACTAACACTGCAAGTGGTGATGAGCGTATACTTAACGGCGTTTACTCCGACGACAACTCCGGCTGCACTATTCCCGAAGTTGATATACGCCGGACACCTAACGTTAAGATGATATTTTCCGGTGATAAAAGCTCCGACTTTAAAACGAACACGACCGTCGATTCGAACAAGCAACATAACACCGCCATATGTATGGTCTTGTTCAAGAGACAAAGCGTTGTACGGAGCCACCGGAATAGAGTTTCCACCGACAAAAGGTGACCAAACGTTGACTTCTTTGTGTCCTTGATAAGTCGGTGGAATCGACGTCGGAAAAGTGATCTGTTGGCTCTTGTAAGAAGCGTAGACGTCGAGACGGTCGTAGTAGATTCCGATCTTGTCGTTAGGGTTACGAGAAGAGATGGTTACTTGGAAATTTGAAGTGAGGAGGTTCGGTGGATTGCCGGTGACGTTGAAGGAGAAGACGGTGGCGTCTTGGAGGATGAAACGTGGCTTCGAAGGTTGAAGAATTGCCCATATTATCAAAATCAAGAAGAGGATTATTCCGAGGAAGGTTATTATAGGGATGATTACACGTCGGCGGATTTTACGGCAGCGAGATGAGTCGCTGTGGTGGGAGCCACAGTCTTTTGAAGTCATGTCGGAGATCCGGTGGAGAAGTACGGTGGTTGGTGGTAGAGAAGGTGAGAAAGTTAGTTTATCTTTTTAGTACTCGTGATGGACTCATGGTGGGTTTTATATATAAAAGGTATAGTCTTTTATAGAGAGATTATTTTAATAAATATGAAGTTATAGAAAGTGTGGTAATGTAAAGTATACTATGATTTTGGTAATGAAATATTACGAATGGATACTAACATATGTATGTAAGGTTATGAAACTGATATTATGCAATAGAAAAGGAAAATTAATGAACGCAATAGAAAAAAGAGAAATTTCAAAAAATGCCACTGGAAAAGTGTCATTTTATAAAAATATCATATTTTTACAATTTTTACAAAAATGCTACTTTTTTAAAATTATATATTCATTATATCATTTATGTTTGAGTTAACTATGTTGTATTAGAGTTTAGTTTTGAGGGTTTAAGAGGTTTTAGAGGTGAAAAGATTTTTAGGGTTTAGAATTTTAAGATTTATGTCCTAAAAAGTCATAATTAGT